AGAGTGATCTTAATGCAGCTGACACTCAGCCAGCTGCGACACAATCCCGATCCAATGCCAGTGGATCTTGGAGGGGTGGGAGAAAGTTTACATTACACTGATACAGTCCCCATATCCACTGTTTCATTTATCTATATCTGACAAAATATACCTGCTCTGGGCATTTCTAGGGCTTCCAGCACAACTCTATGCAACAGAAAGTGCTATCTGGTGCATCTTGTTTTTAGAAAGAATTTCAGTAGAAAGTGTATTCTGTGTACCTCATTAACAAAGCTAAAACAATGTAAGGTACACGTGGTCTTTTCATCCCTCCTCCCAGTTGTAAGACATGGCCCTACAAGGGTCAGAAAAATAGTACAAGTCAATAAATGGCTTAGAAAATGGTTTCAGGAGGAACGCTTTGGCTTCCTCGATCATGACCTACTTTTCCAGGAGGATGGCCTACTAGCAAGAGATGGGGTGCATCTCACACAAGTAGGAAAACACCTTTTTACTCACAGACTCACAAACCTCATTAGGCACACTTTAAACTAGGTCCACTGGAGGAGGGGGACAACAGCCAGAAGGCAGAAGAGGCAACAAGGGGATCAGCTACTCTCGATCTCATCCTAACAAATGTGGAGGACCTGATCGATGCAGTTGAAGTGGTTGGATCCTTAGAGACAAGTGACCATGTGCTCCTGCTGTTTGAGATACAAAGGAAGGCTAAAACTAAGACAAGTCAAACCTGCATTCTGGACTTTAGGGAAGCTGACTTCCAAAAAATGAAGGAAATACTGAGCGGCATTCCGTGGACACAGATACTAAAAGACAAAGGAGTTACTGATGGATGGGAGTTTTTCAAGAGTGAAATACTCAAGGCTCAATTGCAAACAGTGCCAACAAAGAGAAAAAATAGGACAAGTGCATAGAAGCCAGAATGGATGTCCAAAGAACTTCTAACGGTGCTAAGACACAAAAGAGACATGCACAAGAAGTGAAAAAAGGGAGAAACCACCAAAGAAAAATTCAAACAAATAGCCAACTCCTGTAGGAAAAAAGGTTCGCAAGGCTAAAGCACAAAATGAGCTCAGGCTTGCCAGGGACATTAAAAAGAATACAAAGGCTTCTTTTTTTATGTCAGTAGAAAAAGGAAGAACAAGGAGGTGATAGGGCCTCTTCGAGGAGAAGATGGGGCAATGCTGACAGGGGATAGAGAAAAGGCAGAACTACTTAATGCCTTCTTTGCCTCAATCTTCTCACAAAAAAGAAAGTCATCTTCAACCTCATCAAGATAGAGTGGATGAGGGATTAGAGGACATCCAACCCCAAATTTGGAAACAAGTCGTCCAGGAATACCTGGCCACTGTAAACGAGTTCAAGTCCCCAGGCCCAGATCAACTACACCCAAAAGTATTGGAGGAACTAGTGGAAGTCATTTAAGAACCATTGGCAATCATCTTTGAGAGTGCTTGGAGAATGGGAGAAGGCCAAGCAGATTGGAGGAGGGCTAATGTGGTCCCAATCTTCAAAAAGGAAAAAAAGGATGACCCAAACACACCTTGATACCAGGCAAGATTCTGGAAAAGATTGTTAAGGAAGTGGTCTGCAAACACTTAGAAACAAATGTGGTCATTGCTAATAGTCAACATGGATTTATCAAAAACAAGTCATGCCAGACTCATCTGATTTCTTTTTTCGATAGAGTTACAAGCTGGGTAGATTCAGGGAATGTCGTCTATGTAGCATACCTGGATTTCAGTAAGGCCTTCGACAAGGTCCCCCATGACCTTCTGGCAAGGAAACTAGTCCAATGTGGGCTAGGCAAAACTACAGTGAGGTGGATCTGTAATTGGTTAAATGGATGAACCCAGAGGGCGATTCTCCCCAAGG